ATGTCTGAGGGAGGAGGTGAGGCTCTGAGGGAGGGGAAGAAGGTCTGAAGGAGGAGGCCCTGTCTGAGGAAGTCTGAGAAGGACCAAGTGAGGAAAGCAGCTCAGAGGGAGGAGGAGAGAGTTGGCTGGCGCGGGGCGGGGGGTGGGGGGTGGGTTGTGATGGAGGAAGAGGTTTGAGGGTGAGGACATGAGGGTCTGAGGACGGAGAGCATGGTCTGAGGGAGGAGGAGCAGTTTGAGGAGGGCCTCCTTGGGACACAGGGAAGAGAGGCGTGCTTGGGACCAAGCAGCGACTGAGGGAAGGGAAGAGAAGGGAGGCCTGGAGTCAGCCCCGCCCTGCAGCTGTCTAATTTCCCAGAATCTTCTACTGCTCAGGAAAGTCCCAGCTCCCACAGCCGCCTCCCTCCAGTGTCGGGAATGGAGGATGCGGAAGCAGGACGGCTGCCCCCTCCTTTTCCCCCTGGCTCCCAGCACCCCAGGCTGGGAGGACTAGGGTCTCCCCTCTCTGCGCTTGAGCTCCGGAGGTCCCCTGCCGGCAGGGGGCAGCCCCTGGATGAGTCCCAGAAAGTTCCCAGAGAGAGCCCGGAAGTCCTGCGTGGTGTCTAACCACTTTCCCTCGCGCAGGCTGCCTTTTGTATCCGTGCAAATCTTTCCTTCCCTTCTACCCCTACCCCCAGGGAAGGAAGGGCTGAGCCCGTCCAAGGTCCCGAGAAGGAAACGAAGGCCTGGCTGGAAGGCTGTGGGCCTTGGGGCACTTCCTCGCTCTTGGGGGCCTTCCAAGAGGGGAGGATAGTGCTTGTTAGATACTAGATTCCCATCGGCTTAATTCCTGGGCCTTTTTCTGTTCCAAGTTTTGCTCCCAACTGAGGCCCGAGCTTCTGGTTTCATCAGCTGTGTGGCTTCCTGGCCATTACTGAACTTCGTGGAGCCTCAACTTCCCCACCTACCAGGCAGACTAAATCGAGACCCTAATGCTTCCGTCCTCTAGGGCCCGATGGATAGGAAGTGCTAAAGGCAGTGTGGCTGCAATTATTATGATCCCTGTTATAACCGCAGGAGCAACGGTGATAATTATTCCTATCCAGGAACCTAACGTTTCAACAGCTGGGCCCATTTCATTGAGGAAATTGGGACCCAACATGCTGGGCCTGGAAGATACGGGTTTGAGGCCGGGTTCTGCCATGTGTCGGCTGTGTGTGACTTTGGATAGGTGGCTTTCCCTCTCTGTGCCTTTGTTGGTGACTTTACTGTTGGGGATCATAACAGCTCCTGCCTCACAGGGTTGCAGAGCAGATTGAGACCACGTGTACAGAATGAATAGCTGAATGAATGAATGAATGAATGAATGAACGGTGTCCCTTCTTGCCTCCATGTTGCCTGCCTTAACTCATCGGGCCAGGCCTTCCCTGTAACCCTCTCCGCCCAGAGATAAAGCAAGATGGGCCCATTCGCCCTGGGCTGAACTCCCATGAAGAATTGGCCCATGTAATCCTCTTGACATCTCGTGAGGAAATCCAGCTGCAACTCCCATTTTACAGAGACACAACAGAGGAGCGGAGTCCCTGCTCAGGGTCATCAAGATTTTATGCCAGGTCTCTGTGTCCCCCGCAGCCCGGCTGCTGGGGCAATCGGTCCCCGAGACCACAGGCCTTCCCTCTCCTGTCTAACTCCAGACCCCTATCCCCTAAGAAGGGAATGGCTCAGGAGGGGAAAACTCAGGCACAAAGAGGCAAAGTCACGGCCAGAGCTTAGCAGGTCTACAGTCTGTCTGCAGGCTCCAGGCACAGGGAGGGTCGAGCTGATGGAGGGAAGGTCGCGTCGCAGCAGGAAGGTATAGATTTAGATTGAAGAGAGGGTTCCGGGAAAGCGAGCAGATTGCACAGACAGAGGAGAACAGACCTGAGCCTGGAGCTGGGGGGCCCTGCCCAAGGTCACACAGCTTTGGGCTGCGATTCCACCCTGGGTTTGCGGACTGCCCTGCTCCCAGAGGCTGCCCTTCCCCCCACCCCCCAGGAGTGAATACAGGCCAGCTTCCTGCAGCCATGGCCTGTACCTCCTGGTTCCTCCCCACCCTGGGGCCTTGGCAGCTTCTGGAACCCCTGGCACCAAGCAGGATCGGCCCTTCTGGGGCCTTGGCCAAGACTTGGTCTTCCCCTTTCTCCCTCTTGCTGGGTCTGCACGCACGACGCTGAGTCAGAGGATTGCAACATCCTCTCCTCGGGCTTTGAGACCAGACATCCTCTGCCCCGTGCACTGCCTCTATCGGGCCAAGGTGATGCGGTGGGAGACATCTATGGATATTGGCATCTGCCCTGGGTGGGGTTGGGCAACCTCAGAGGGATCCCAGTGAGGCGATGGTAGCCAGACGGTAGGCGGCGTAATGCTGGGCCTCAATGTCCTCATCCGTAAATGGGGCTCCCTGTCCAATTGGCTTCGAGTCCCAGCTCTGCCGCTTACCAGCTGCGTGACCTTGGGCAAGTGACTTATCCCCTCTGAGCCTCAGTTTCCTCATCTATAAAATGGGGACGAAACCCAGCGAACGCCTCATGGGGGTGGTTGTGAGGGTCAAAGGAGTTAGCAATGCGTCGACCCAAGCTGGCGAGGAGTCAGTTCTCGGGAAATGGAAGGTAGTATTTTTCAACGATTGCTATTATTAATACAGATATGGGAGTGGCAGAGGCTGCTTGGATCTCTCAAGAAAAGACATGCGGCGTGGCTGCCCCGCGTGCAGATGGCTGGCTGAGAGCCTCCCACAGTTGGTTCCTTCAGGTTCTGCCTCAGCTCGCCAGTCGGGGACACCAGCTCCTGGCAGCGTCTGGCCATTGACTGAGCCAGGCAAGGTAGGGGATTCTGGCCATTTCTGCTACTCTGGGCTTCCTCTGTGTGCAATCTTTGCTGCAGGGGCTCCCCCTTGGGCTGACATGGTGGCCTGATCGTTCCCCCCCCCCCCCCCCGCCACCTCCCAATCCCGCTTCCCCCTTCCCTTTCTCACGGACGCTCTCGGTAACTTTTTGCCCTCCTGACTCTAGGCACCTCCTTTCTGGAAGACCGGATCCGTGCCGATGGACTTTGGAGTCAGACAACCGGAGCACGAGTGTTGTCTCTGCCTGGGTAGCTTCGGAGCGGCATCTGATCTCTCCGAGCCTCAGTTTCCCCCTCTGAGTCATGGGAACGGTAACGTGACGGCTGAGAGGCTCCAGTGAGTCAGCAACGAAGCCCTTAGCACACTTACCTGGCACCCATACGTCACACTCATCCATCGGGAGGGAGACAAATCTGGGTCTATTTTCCACTCTGCCGGTTTCTGGCCTCTGAGCCTGGTCTGTAAGGTGGGGATGGACCCTGTTCTTCCCCGAGTAGGACGCCCTGAGTTAGGTGCGGAAAGCCCCGGCCAAGCCTGGCACACCAGAAGCTCGATAGCCGGGTGGTGTCATTACGGCCACTGCCTTGAGGGGCTGAGCCGGCCAAGTCATCTGAGGAAGAGGTGAGCAGGGAGCTGTAGGGCAGGCGTGTCTCACCCCCATGGGGCCCTGGTCTTGGGCTGACCAACGAAGGGAAGTCCCAGGGCTAGGAAACCGTGGCGTCCTCCTGTAGAAGCTCCCTGATTCTGGGATACACCACAGATGTGGGGAGGAGGGAGGAGGAAGCCCCCTGCCTTGCTCATTCAGTGGGCAAGAAGGGAGGGAGAATGTACGAGAAAAAAAAAAAAAAGTCGGCCTCCCTCGTCAGACTTGAGCAGACCTCCTCCATCAGACTGGGAGGTCCCTGGGGTGGGGATAGGTTCCCCGTCAGTGTAGGAGTTCCTTGTGCCTTTGAGTTGCGTTCTCCCTCCTCCATCAGATCAGGATCTCCCTCAGAAGGGGGCATGTGTCACTTGTCCACGGATTAGATTATCTCTAAGAGTGAGTGATGCCTCCCCTATCAGACTGGGAGTTGTCCCCGGGTGTGTGGGGGGGTGTCTGGGGCATGCCTCTCTGGGGACCGGGAGGTCGCTCGAGATGAGGCGACATGTTCCCCTCGTCTGTCTAAGGACATCGGTTCTCAATTGAGGGGGGCAATTTTGCCCCCTTCGGGGGACATCCGGATGAGTATTAGACTAGAGCTTCCTGAAGATGGTGGACATGCCTCCGCCATCGTTCTAAAGTTCCCTGAGCGTGAGTCTGGGTCCTGCCTCCTCTATCGGGCTGTCGCGCTGAGTTGTGGAGCTTGAATTGGCCGTTGTATGGGGAGCCCTGTGAGGATGAGATTAATCTTATCCCCAGCATTAAATGAGAAGTATGGATTACTCAGGAGGGAGCTGTTGCCTGTCTCCTCCATCAGATTAGTGCTTGCTTCCAGAGCCCTGAGTCGGGGAAGTCTCTCTCTCTCCAGTCAACCCTCAACCCAGCCACTCCCTGAGACGGGACAAGCCTCCCCCAGTTGGAGTCCCCACCACTTTGCAACCGCACTCCCCAGGGCACAGCCCAGAACCCATCCCGGAGGAAGGGACAACACCTTCCCTGGAGAGCCAGCCTTTTTTCCTGGAAGTTGGCATGTCCCCAGCCCGAGGCCACAACCACTGCTGCGGCCACCAGGGCCTAAAAATACAGATGTAAAAGTTCCCTGGGCTCCTAGGAACGCCGAGGTCACACCAGGCTCTTCCTCATTTGAGCCAGAGCCACAGCGAACTATCCTTTCCTGTGCCCCAACTATCGTCCCAGCGGGAGCCACCCCTGCCCTCCAGCCCCCTTCCCAGGAGAGTGAGGACCAGGGCAGGGGGGGGGGGGGTCTCCACCACCAGACTTTGTGGAGTCGGGTCGCCAGCTGGAAGCAACGCCTGGCACCGCTTCTCGCTTCTCGGCTCTGCAACTCTGGGCAGGCCGTTTGCGCATCTGGAAGGCGTGAGGCCGCACCCGTGGATTGCCTGGCTCTGGGCTGGCTGGTGACAGATGGGGTAAACTGGGGCAGGCGGGGGGCGCTCCTCCAGTCATGCCTTGCAGGAGCTGCGGGTGGGGGTGGCTGTCGGCTTGTGGCGGCTCCTTTGGCCATTACCCATCTCTGAACTTGTCACTTTGGCCTCCTGTGGTTACGTGGCGTCACAGTGCGTTGGCTCACTTCTGGGAAAATCAAATCGTATTGTGTGTTTCAGATCCCAATTCTCCTCCTGCGGGTTCCCTCTGCCGCCCCTCCTGCCTTTCGGGCCCAGGAATGTTACCCCCTGGAGACCCAAGTCATCTGAGGAGCAGAATGGGCCGAACGGTGGGATTCAAAAAATACGTATTTTCAAATTATGAAACATAATGGGGAGAATTACATACAAGATAATGTTCCATTTTACGACCTGTTGTAAAGAGAACAGTCATAGTTTTGCCAGTTCATCAGAAGCCCCTTTGTGCCTCTTCCAAATCACAACACTTTTCTTCCCTTCAGGTAACCCCTGTTTCTTTTATGTGTTTATTGCCTTCTTTTATACATTTTTTTAATTTTGTAAATCGTATTTGTTAAACAATTGTTTAATGTTTGCTTATTTTTGAGAGGCAGAGAGACAGAGACAGAGCACGAGCAGGGGAGGGGCAGAGAGAAAGGGAGACACAGACTCCGAAGCAGGCTCCAGGCTCTGAGCTGTCAGCCCTACGCGGGGCTCGAACCCACGAACCCTGAGATCATGACCTGAGCCAAAGTCAGATGCTTAACCGACTGAGCCACCCAGGCGCCCCCATACTTTTTTTTTTAATAAAAAAAATTTTTTTGACATTTATTTATTTTCGAGAGACAGAGAGACAGAGCAGAGTTTGTGGGCTAGAACTCACAAACCGAGAGATTGTGACCTGAGCCGAGGTCAGATGTGTAACCTCCTGAGCCACCCAGGCGCCCCATACTATTTTTTGAAAAGATTTTATTTCTAAGTGATCTCTACACCCAACATGGGGCTCGAACTCACAACCCTAAGACCAAGAGTCACGCGCTCCACCGACTGAGCCAGCCAGATGCCCCTACAGTTCTGAGTTTTTAAATAAAGGGATCTTACAGTGCAACCTCTTGGATCTGGCTGTTTGCACTCGCTTTTATACCTATGAAGTGTGTCCACATTCTCGTGTCTATTGGCCTTCATTTACATTGCCGCGTACGACTTTCTTGCCCAATACACCACAATTTGTTAATCCATTCTCCTGTTGATGAGCATGTGTGTGGTTTTGGCTTTTTGGACAATGCCGTATGTATCTCCTGGTGCCAACGAGCACCCGTTTTTCTGCATCACCCAAGAGTGGGATTGTCGTAGGATGGGGTAGATGATGTGTATACGTCCAGCTGGGTGAGATATGGCCAGACGGTTTTCCCGTGTGATTGCCCCAATTTTCACTCCCATCTCCAATGGCTGCTGCGGGTTCCACTCGCCCTACATCCTTGCCAGCACTGGTTTTGGCCAGACTTGTAAAATATGAGTCATCCTGCACGCATGCGTGCGTGTGCGTGTGTGTGTGAAAATCTCATGGTGGTTCTAATTTGCAATTCCTGGCTCAGTAACAAGGTTGAGTACTTTTCCCTGTGTCCATTGTCTACTTGGGTCCAAGCACAATAGAATCTTTAAGACAAAAAATTCTAGAACCCTACAATCTTTTTTTTTTTTTTTTTTTTTTTTTTTTTTAAGTAGGCTCCATGCCCAGCGTGGAGCCCGATGCAGGGCTTGAACTCATGACCCTGAGATCAAGATCTGAGCTGAGATCAAGAGTCGGACACTTAACCGGCCAAGCCACCCAGGTGCTCCTAGGACCCTAAAACCTTAAGGGTAAAGAAATCTAGAGTCCCAGACTTTCTGGAACAAGGGCATTCCGGAATCCTGGGCCTCAGTTTCCCCATTCGTGAAATGGGGATGATGGGGGGGGGGTCTGTAACTCCCAGGGTTGGTTGAAGGATGGGATGAGTTATATGTGTGCACCTAGAATGGAACCTGGCGCCTGGTGATCGCTCAGTAATTGTGGTTTCCCCTGAGGCTGGAATTTTATATGTTTTGTTCTTTTCTGTATCCTCAGCCCCCGACACGCAGAGAGGCTCAATAAATAGTCACTGAATGAATGAGCAGCTCCTAGAATCAAAGGTTCAAAGGAGCAGAGAAACTTCAGGAGCCAAGACCAACAGAATCTAGGAAGGGGGAA